CAGAACATCATGACATATGGAAAAGGAAGAGGAAATCTGCTTACCTCATGGCAGCCAGGAAACAGAGAGAGCAAGGAAGGGGTCAGGGACAAGATACATCCTTCCAAGGCATGCAACAGTGACCTACTTCCTCCCACTAGGCCCTGAGTGGTGCAGTTACATCACCTCCCAATAATGTCATCAAATTGTAAAGTCACCAATGGATTAATCTTTTGATGATGCCAAATGATACAGCCACTTCCAAAGAGCCCCACCTCTCAACATTGCTCCTTTAGAGATCATCCTTCAACCATGAGCCTTTGGGGGACAATTCATATTCAAGACAATACACTATATTGATTGGCTGTTTTCAAATTCTGAGTGGGAATGACAAATAAATGAAAGTATGGGTAGAAGACAAAAGAATCCTGCATAAGTCTATATTAGAAACAAATTGCTCCAACATGGGTATTTCACAGCATAATTGCGATAATATGTCACTTACCAAAGTTGCTCAGTACTGGGGATTACCCATAAAATTTTGGAATGAACGCCTGATGAGACCAATGAGCTGATGGACGAAGGAAGTGACATAGGGAATCTCCTTCCTGACCAAGCATCTTTTATTCTCATCCCTTGAGCGTTCTTCCAGTTCAGTTTTTGTGTCATGGTAGAAAGTGGACTTGGAAAAATGAATAGCTAATTCTTTTATCTCTGAATCATCTGTCCTTGAACACATTTCAGTCTTGTAAACTTTGGAATAAAAGTGGATAACAGGCCACAGATTACTGTACAGATTACTAACTCACTATTAACAGATTACTACTGATTTCACAAGTTTTTCTGTGATCTCTTATTTGTATAACTCCCACATTCTAAAGCTTGAGTAGAAAAAGTAATTCACATGCTCATTCATAAGTTAAATAAAAATACACATAGCACTCACTTTCAACAATATCTATTTGTTCATTGCAATGACATGCAAATTCACCAAGCCATGTTTTAATAAGTCACCACATTGCTAAACCTCAGCCAAATTAATTAGGCAGAATTATGTAAATGTGAAAATTTTACATACCTTCATAGTCTTCTGAATCTCTCTTTATTACACCATCAGTGATATCCAGGAACAATTCTGCAGGATTATTGTAGAATTTGCAGGGAAAACCTACAAAATAAGACACCCAAATAACTCAAGCTGATAGTCTTGGAAAGTATAGAAGACTCACCTCAGAGGATGCAGGATGTGAGGGTAGGGAAGACAGACTGAACAACTCTTTCCTCATCTTTTTGCTCTTTTCTGCCCTCACTAACTTATCCTTTCCTCTTTTTTATTCAATCACACAACATTTCAACAACTATCTGTCTCCCAGGCAAAACCCCAACTTATTCCAAACCATTTTTGGACTCTTCAGAACATTTTACATTATTCCTTAATTCTCATAAATCTTCAAACCCCAGGAAGCTATCAGTATGCTCTGGTGCTTATCAGTACTTCTTCAAAAATCTAAATATAGCTCCAAAAATGATATTGCTCTCTGAATTCACCTAGAGAATGCTGGAATGTCAGTAGGCAGGTCAGCACATTGCTTTGCAACCTACTAAATTCAGAGATCCCAATGGTCACCTCTCAAGCTGCCATAATTCCAAATAGACAACAAATTTTCAGAGCAGCGTTATGAAGAGAATGTGACCAGCACAGTACATGTGACATCTTACCTCAACTTCCTGTGGCACAATCATCTAAACTTACTCTGACCTCTGACTTAATTTAATTCCTTCTAGTTAGTTTTAAATGACAATACAATGCATATTGGCACATCATACATAAATGGAGTATATCTTCTCCTTCTTCTGGTTGTACACGATGTAGAGTTGCACCAGGCATGTAATCAAGTATGTAAATAGGGCTAATGTCCAATTCATTCTAATCCTTAATCCAAAGTACCTCTAATCTTCCCAAGTTCCCACTCCCTATTGTGAATTAGTATCTTCATATCAGAGACAATATTCCGCCTTCGGTTCTTTGAGTTTGGCTTATTTTGTTTAGCATGATATTCTCCAATTCCATCCATTTACTGGCAAATGCCATAATTTCATTTTTCTCTAAGGATAAGTAATACCCCACTGTGTATATAAACCACATTTTCTTTATCCATCAAGCTGTTGAAGGGCATCTAGGTTGGTTCCATAGTTTAGCTATTGTGAATAGAGCTGCTACAGACATTGATGTGGCTGTGTCACTGTAACATGTTGATTTTAAGTCCTTTGGGTATAAAACAAGGAGTAGGATAACTGGGTCAAATGGTGGTTTCATTGCAAGTTTTCTAAGAAATATCCATACTGCTTTCCAGCATAAATCACCAATTTGCAGTCCTACCAACAATATATGAGTGTGCCTTTTACACTACATCTTCACCAACATTTATTGTTGCTGGTGTTCTTGAAATTGCCATTTTGATGGATGTGAGATAAAATCTTAGAGTAACTTTGATTTGCATTTCTCTAATTGCTAGAGATGTTGAACATTTTTTCATATATTTGTTGACTGATAGTATTTCTTCTTCTGTAAAGTGTCTGTTCAGTTCCTATGCCCATTTATTGATTAGGTTATTTGTGCTTTGGGTGTTTAAGATTTTTGAGTTCTTCATATATCCTGGAGCTTAATGCTCTATCTGAATTGCAGCTGGTGAAGATTTTCTCCCATTCTTTAGGATCTCTCTTCGCATTATTGATTGTTTCCTTTGTGTGAAGTAGCTTTTTAGTTTAATTTCATTCCATTTATTGGCTCTTGAATTTACTTACTGTGCTTTAGAAGTATTGTTAATGAAGTCATTTCCTATGCTGACATGGTGGAGATTTGGGCCTGCTTTTTCTTTTATTTTGTACAGTGTCTCTGTTTAGTGCCTAAGTCCTTGATCCACTTTGAGTTGAGTTTTGTGCAGGGTAAGAGATAGGCGGTTAATTTCTTTTTGAAACCTATGGGTTTCCAGTTTTTTCTAGCACCATTTGTATAGGAGACTATCTTTTCTCCAGTGTATATTTTTGGTGCCTTTGTCTGGTATGAGATAACTGTATTTACGTGTGTGGGTTTGTCTCTGTGTCTTCTAGGCTATACCATTGGTTTACATGTCTGTTTGGTGCCAATATCATGCTATTTTTGTTACTATGTGGCTGAAGTGTGACTTAAAGTCTAGTATTGTGATGCTTTCTCTTCACTTCTCTTGCTAAGAATTGCTTTGGCTATTCTGGTTTTCTTATTTTCCCAAATAAATTTTGTGATTGTTTTTTCTATTTCTATGAAGAATGTTTTGTGTATTTTAATGGAATTTGAGCTGTGACTCTTTTTTTTTACTTTTTTATTGAATGGAATGCATTACAATTCTTTTTACACATATACAGCACAAGTTTTCATATCTCTGGTTGTATATAAAGTATGTTGATACCAATTTATGACTTCATACATGTACTTTGGATAATGATATCTTTCAGTTCATTGTCCCTGGACTTCCCAGAATCTCATTTGTTTGATGTTTTTTTTTTTTTGGTTTTTTTTTTTTGGTTTTTTTTTTTTTTAGTGACAGAGATTTAATAAAAATAAATTAAGAAAAAATGATTATTTACAACTATATTTGTGGTCATGGAGAAACATCTATAATCATATGCAAAAAGCTCTAAAATTAAGCAGATAGATAAGCTGTTAAAGAAATCATAGTATTCAATCTGAAATAAAAAGAACAAGTCATCTCAGAAATTTTGGCCCATTAAGTCTGATTCATGACCATCCATTGCATTGAGTAATAGTCACTTACACCACTCAAGACATAAATCTTCAATCTAATGTTACTAGAAAATGCAGTAGTATCTCCATGAACCCTCACAAAGGCAGAGCAAGACCATGTGTCAGGGGAAGTACTGGAAAACCACAATTGTTACATGGTCAAAAAGGCAATATTTTGGCAAATAACCCAATCAATACATGGACTAAGGAACAGAACAGATACTTCACAGAAGAAATACAGTCAACAAATATATGAAAACATGTTCAACATCTCTAGCAATTAGAGAAATGCAAATCAAAGTTACTCTAAGATTTTATCTGATTCCAGTCAGAATGGCAATTATCAAGAATACAAGCAATAAGTGTTGGCAAGGATATGGGGGCAAAGGTACACTCATATATTGCTGTTTGGACTTCAAATTAATGCAACATGCTAGAAAGCAGTATGGAGATTCCTTAGAAAACTTGGAATGGAACCACATTTGACCCAGCTAGCACACTCTTTGGTTTACACTCAAAGGACTTAAAATCAGCCCACTACAGTGACACAGCCACATCAATGTTTGTAGCAGCTCAATTCACAATAGCTAAGCTATGGAACCAATATAGTTGCCCTTCAGCAGATCAATGGATATATAAAATGTGATACATATACACAATGGAGTATTATTCAGCCTTCAAGAATGAAATTATTGTATTTGCCAGTAAATAGATGGAGTTGGAGAATATCATGCTAAGTGAAATAAGTCATTCCCAAAAAAACAAACTCCAAATATTTTTTTCTGCTATCTAGGTGCGGATCCATAAAGGGGTGGGGGCTAAGGAAGAACGGAAGAACTTTGGATTGGGCAGGGGGAATAAGGGTCGGGGGTGTATGGGAGGGTAGGAAGGATGGTGGAATGAGTCAGCTATTATTACCCTAGGTACATGTATGATTGAATGAACAGTGTGAATCTGCATCATGTAAAGCCCAAGAAATGAAAAGTTTTGCTCCATTCAAGTACAATGAGTTGAAATGCATTCTGCTGTCAAATACAACTAATTAGAACAAACTGAAGAAAAGCAATGTTTTGGGACTTTTCAAAATCTTTAACTGACAGAATAACTAGCTGTGAGTCCAACATGCTAATTATTGACCTTTCAGGGAAAGGTTATCATAACTGGGAAGGAGAACAGATAAAGGCTCATGAGAAATACACACACACACACACACACACACCCAGAAGCACACACACCATGCATAGTCAAATAGGAGAGGACAAGGAGAGAGATGTGAACAATAAGCAAGTGCTGCATAATGAAGAAAAATTCGGGCACTAAACTGACCAAAGATGTTTCAGAGCGGAGGCACCCCAGTTAATTCTATGCAAGGTCAAGGAGCATTCCTGCAGCACTCCTGTGGACTCCTCTGCTCTTCCAGAAGTCTGTGAATGAAGGATCTAGTGCGTGAAAAGGTTAATCGCACCTGCTGATTGGAAGTACTCCAAAGCCTTCTGGGCAGGACCGTGATAAATTAGTTCTCCTGAGGCCAATATGGTAAGACTGTCAAAGAGCTTGAAGATGGAATAACAAGGCTGATGGATGGTGAAGATAATTGCTCTCCCCTGCTGAGAAATCCTAAGTGAAAAAGGGAAATAATGAATCATTAAACATCCGGACCTTGCACTTCTTGATAGAATACTTATTCCTGCCAGTAGAGCTTTTTCTCTCAGTTCAACTTGATTTTCTCTTACAAACTTGTCATCTCAACTCATTACATACTTGGCAATTGAGGAAAATAAAATTCAATGCTTTTATTAAAAGACTAAATATTCTTAAAGTTTGGTGCATCAGCAGTCTAGAATTGTCTATAGAGATTGAGAGAAAATCCATTTTCGTAGAGTCTACCCAGACAGTGAATTCAGGGAAGTTGGTACACAATCTCTGATGGTTGGAATAGGGAATCCATATTATTACCAAGTATCTCAGATAATCTCTTGAGTACACCCACTTTCAAGAACTAGTTAATGACCTGTGAGACTACAAATAGTACAGTATGGAAAAGTCTACAAATAAAGAGAAAAAATTGTATATTGTTATATTCCATCTTCATTATGTGTAGATTGTTCAAATTTTAATTCTTACAAGTCACTATCCTGTCTTATGTTGACCAATGTCTTGGTAATTTAACACTTTTAATAAATTTTTTAGTGAATACATGAAAATAAGAACTAGTTAATGATTAAGTATTAAAAAGATGGTCATATAACCAATTTTCATTGATCATTTAATTATGTTGAATCTTTAGTAATTGGTTTTCATCCTACCTTGGTAATACATTAATATTATTTAGCCCTTAGAATGCCATTTAGCACTTAGTTAAATGTTTTAGAGATAAATCTTTATTTTTATAGTAAGGCTGTTATGATATTAGTATTTCCTTCTTTTTACAGATAAGGTCTAAATGTTAAGTAACTGGCTAAGCCCTCACAGTTACTAAGGGGCCCTGTTGGGGTCTGAGCTCTGGTCAGATTTTATGGTAGAAACAGTTCTAAACTGCCCTTTATAGGAGTTATTACTTAAGGTTAGAAGAAACAAAGGCCAACATTACTTTCCCAATTTTTAAAGTATTTTGAGAAAAGAATCACTTCAATTTAATAATTTGATAAGCACCTCATAAATCTATTGTATCCAAGGGGGTTCTGCCTCATGGAGAAACAGGAAAAGATCTATAATTTCAATCTGATGTGGATTTGAAGTAGTTAATGGCTCCTTGTAAAAAAAAAAAAAAAAAGGAGAGTGATAACCCCTAAGAAGGTGATATATGTAGAATATCCAAATTCCCAATGATGGTGACCTAAGAAAAGAGACGCAGTGAAAGAACAAGGTGAACAAAGTGAACAAGTCTACTCTCAAAACTGTAAGAAGCAGTTCCATGTAACACGACAGGCAGTGTTTATGTGTTTGCTTGTGTAGGTGTTGTTTTGGGTGAAGAAGATAACTAAGAGAGATGGCAAAACAGGCCTATGGTGAGCACTTCAGAAAAAAGATGGAAATTCAGTCAATAGGCAATAGGAGCTGGGAAAGGACTGGAAGATGGACACGTGGTTCCTGAGAGCTCTGACACTCAAAGTGTGCTCTGAGGACTAACAGCGTTAGTATCAGTAATTCTTCAAATCTCCTATGAAGAATTTTGAACCCTTCCTGAGACCTATAGAAACAGGATCTGCATTTCAACCAGACCCCAGGCTATGAACTTGCACAGCAGTGTTTGGGAAGGACTGATCAGAGCTCTCTGCATGAGGAAAGATGCCTGTGTGCTAAGCAGAGCAAACCACAAAGAAAATGTCTATGAATCTAAATATCATACATGGGTTCTGTAATGGGGCCTGAACTCCAGACCCATGACTGGGCATCATCACTTATATGTGCAAATAGTACTTTAAACTTATGATGTCTAACTCATAAATATCTTCCTTTCTTGCTGTTTCCTCTCTTCTATCATAGAGACTTGCTCATAGGGTTATGAGCATCAGAGGAAGCAAGGTTGTGACAGAGAGGGGAAGCCTTGAAGATAGTGTGATTGACACCTTAAAACAATGAGGCAGAGGAGTTTCTAGAGGTGGTAGATAAAGGGAGAGACTAGAACTACTTGGAGATTGGTTCCAATAAACAAATAAATTACATCAGTAAGCAAGTAAGTAAATATTTTGAGATAATGGGAGCCCAAACTCTCCCTGTCTGAAGTCACAAACATGAAAATGGCAAAGACTAAAAGTAAGACAGAGGTGTTAGTTTGGAGTCAGAAATATTATTATGAATTCATGGGATTTTCAATGTATATACAATAACAAGACAGCAATAGTTATAGATCTCTGTTCATGCATATAGTTTTTAGTAAATATCTATGAATACATATATGTGTACCACAATTAGATGATAAAGGCTGACATTACCTGTGAAGGTTGCATTCTCAGGTGTGTTGCACTGAGTACTCAGCATCCTTTCATTCTTGAGCATCATGCAACACTCACTGGGATGGACCCTGCAGGGGGTCACACCATGAATTGCTCCAGATTGTAAGAAGACAGGAAAAGTGTATTTCTGGAGAGATACTGACAGACAGGAAACAGACACAGTAGCTCTGATTGTATCCTAGCAAAGGATTTGAATAGCCATGATTGGATCCTGACAAAGAAAGGCTTATTGACCGGGAATTTAAGATGATGGTGTGTTCTCCTGGATTGGAGTTTTGGGTAGGAAGTATTTGGGGTGAAAGGGCATGATGGCAGAAGAAACTACATGGGAAGTAGCAGAGAGGAAAGGAGGGGCTACAGATACAGTGAAATTTAACAGAGGGAAATCCAGGTGAGAAAAGTAGAATTTCATTTGTATTATTCTTGGATATTTCCTTTCAGTTTGAAATATGTTACTATATTTTTAAAGATGATGTCTAAATCTCAACTATTGAAAAATTTCCTATAAACATCCATTCGAATTTTTCTTTCTTTATAAAAAGAAATGCATTTATCTAATTTCATTCTTCCACTTTTTGAAGCCTCAAATGTCAGCAGTCATTGTCTCAATCCTCCCATGACAGGTGGAAATCCTGAGCTGATCCTGTTGGTTCCCTTGAAAACAGATCTAGAATCCACCCTCTGCTCACCAGGACCATCCTTGGTGATGCTTCATCATCCTTCATCAGCTCCTTCACTGGATCTTCCCTCATCCTTGCCTAACTGCCGTCTTCCCCACAGCCATTGCTGTGCTCCAAAACTCTCAAAAACCTCCCCATTTCCTCTCGTGACAGGAAAAGCCATACTTCTTACATGACCTCTGCCACCAGCCCAACTCCACTTAACATCCTAATCCACCTGTGAAGGGCTAAACTGGGTCCTCCCCAAACTCAGATATTGAAGCCCTATCCCCCAGGGCCTCTGAATGTGGCCACATTGAACATAGTGTTTTCAAAGAGGTCTTTAAATTTAAATGAGGTCACTGAGGGTTCTCATCTGACTATGTCCAGTTAGGAGTTGATTAAGACACAGACATACAAAGGGAGAAGGTGACCATCTGCAGCCAATGAGAGGCCAATGAAGAAACAACCCACAGCATACAATTTTTCAAATTTCTGCCTTCAGAGTCATAAGAAAATTAATTTTTGTGTTTAAGCCTCCAGTCTGTGGTATTGTGACAGTTCACCAAACGTCACTCCTCATAGTCTCTGGGTCTGTCCCTCTGGCCTTGCTGGTCTTCCCCACACATCAGACATGCTGTGCTTCAGAGCCACTTGGCTACCTTTTCTAACCCGAACTCTCTTCTGATTTATAGCACATCTCACTCATTCTCTCCCAGCATATGTGTCACATGATTGTGGCCTTTTCTGGTCCTTCTAATTAAAAAGCTCCCTGCCTTCACCATAGCCTTCCTTTCCTATATTCTTGCTTCATCTTTCTTGAACCACTTCTTGTTTATTGACTGTATCCTGCTAAAGAAGAAGAAACATTAAAAAAAAAAAAAAAAAACTTCTGAATCTCCTGCACCAGAAATACCAGTAAAATAGAAGTGATCAAAGAGGAAATGAATGAAATAAAATGTTGCCATAGTTTTTACCTTAGAAGTGTAAAGACATCATTAGCTGTTCTCCCATCTAAGCCAGTTGTGGGTTCATCCAGGAACAAGATGAGAGGATCAAGGATCAGCTCCATTCCTATACTAGTCTTTTTTCTTTCTCCTTTAGATTCCACCTAAAACACAAATTATTATCATGTTCAAGAATTTCCATGGTCACTGCTATTTGGTGAATTAACCAGTACCATTCCTGTTAGAGACACTTTACTTCATTTTCCTCATTATTCTGGACAGGAAATAAATGACATCTGGGGGAAAAAAGTTTTTCTCTAACCCCATGTGTAAGCTAAGCCTCAGTGCAGAGTAGCCACCTGATTTGAATCTCATTCTTTTAATAGTCCTGAGCATTCCTTGACAGTCAAATATTTTAAGAGAGTAAGTTAAAACACTAAAAAAACCAAACCAAACCAAAAAGAAAACTATGATGTAGGGAAATATATTTAATAAAGGAGAGCCTGGCACAGTGTAGTATGCCTGTAATCCCAGTGGCTAGGGAGGCTCAGAATGATGTTCTCAAGTACCAAGCCAGCCTTAGCAACTTAATGAGGCCCTCAGCTACTTAGCGAGAACCAATCTCTAAATAAAATATAAAAAAGGGCTGAAATGTGGCTCAGTGTTTAAGCATCCTTGGTACCAATAAAACAACAACAAAAAAAACACACAAACAAAAAAAAAACAATAAAACAACAACAAAAAAAAAAAAGGAAAAGAAAAAGAAACTACTTACAATGATCTTTTAGTGTGTTCTGAACATCCCATACAGACACACCACATCTACAAAATATCCCAACTGGACTGAAAAGAAGATAGTGACCTTGGAGCCAGGAGCATATAATTTCCAACATACCATATTAGCATCTTTTAAATTTCATATTTTTCCCCAAAATGATTTTTTCTATATATAACTTACCTCAGAATGGCTCACTCATCTTTTCAGAAAAATCCAAACAGGGGATATTTCACAAGGCGAGTGGCACAATATTTGCATGCAGTAAATGTGTGGGGAGGGGATAAAGAAGATTTAGGGGAGGTAGGAAGTAGAAAACACACAACCCTTGAATGGTTTCTATTAAGAACTAATCTTTAAAAGACATTTCGGTACCTGATCAAAGTATTATATAAATGTATAAGTATGGCACAATGAAATATATTATTTTGTATAATTATTATAAGCAGAGAAAAAGGATTTTGGGAACAATTAGGGACATATTAATAAATATAAACATGTAACAGCTCATAATATAGAGACCTTGTTCCATTTGTTCAATAATGGTAACAGTAAGGTAAGATATGTGCTCATTTCCTTAGGTTATTGTGGGAGAAAAGGGATACAAATGACCATTGAAGGGAATAGTACTACTCTATAGAGGCAGTAATTCATTGTTAGGTTATCCATCATATCATTTGAGTAATCAGACTATTTGTCAACATTTTTGTTATGTTAAAATATCATAAAGAGCTAAAAAATAAATTACTTAAATCAATGAGATTATATGATTCTAAGAAGCCAACAATTACCTTTGTACATTTCCCCTGGAAATCCAAGAAAGCAACACACTAAAGTGCCTGCTTGGAACTAAGTAAGAGTAAAAGAAAGTGTCTTCCTAGAAAGATAAAATCAGTTTAAAAAGCAGCCTCAATCACTCAACAACAACAACAACCAAAGTGGGTAAAAAGTGGCTCCTGTGCCATCGTAACTCAGGAGAGATCCACAGGGAAAAAAAATGATGTTTATCTGCTACCTGTCCAAGCCCCATTGATATCTGAACCAAAATTTAACAAGATTTTCCTTCACCTTGGCATGGTTTAACTCTAACATCAACTATGATCATTTACATAACTCTTTAGCATGAATGAGTGTTTTAACCCCAATAGCCAACATTGTACCTTAAATCCATTTGAATGTATTTCATCTAATGGTTTAAAGTATTATAAGAATAAATCTTATCTTTGTTTTCATATCTCTAGTTTATACTTGTTCCTCTTACTCCTGATTCACTCTCTTGCATTATCTGCTACTACCTCACATACCCACTATCCATCAATTTTACCTTTGTACCTTAGTGCAAATTATCTTTTCTCTCTCTCTCTCTCTTAATTTTTCTCTTCTCCAATCCTTTAGGGCCTATATTCCCCAATTCCCCACCAATCCCTCATTTATGGTTACAGTAATTGTACTAAATTTAATAACTATTATTGGAGCTATTCCAGAACACTTTTAAAGGTTTACATATGTATTTGGGAAACTGTGGAGAAAAATAGCAACAAGCTTTTCTTTCTTATAAGGTTGAATAATACAAGCCTTGGCTCTGGAGTGGTTATAGTAAATAGGGTTCAGTGGCATCCTTGAAACTGGTGCTGATATAGGATCAGCAGAGGTCACACATTGACAAAAAAAATTAGCATCTGAATAGGAAATCATCCCAGGGCTCTTAAGAAAAAAAAAAACTCATAAGTAGTCATTCTCTTAAAAAAGAAGTGAGAACTATACAAAGAGATGTGCAGGCATAGAAATGCTATGAAAAAAAAATCAAGAAAAAAAATCATCCCAAAATCCCTAATATTTCAACAACTGACTCCATAGACACTACCATAGAAAATATGTCAGAAAAAAAATTGGAAAGTTAAAAGATAAAATATTCTATAAGCTAAAAAGGTATAAAAGTGAAATCAGAGAAAAATACGGAAAGTGAAAGATTACTTCAATAAAAATAAAGAAATTCTAAAAGGGAACCAAATAGGAATCCTAGAAGTGAAAGACTCAGAAACCAAACTAAAAGCTCAATGGAAAGCAACACGAATGGATTATATCACTTTGAAGATAAATCTTTAGGTCTTGAAAACAAAACATATAATCTAGAATAAAGATTGCATAAAGAAAAGATGTTAAGAATGAATAGAAAATTCAATGTTAAGATGTTAAGAATGAATAGAAAATTCAAAAAAAATATGAGATATCACTAAAACACCAAATTTAGTATTTATTGGGATAGATGAAGGCTCTGAAATATAAGCTAAAGGCATGCAAATTTTTTCAATGAAATGATATTAGAAAATTTTCCAACCCTTAGGAATGAGAGAGAAATTCAAATCAAAGAAACATATAGGAATCCATGTATACAAAATCACAATATATTCACACCAAGAAACATTATAATGAAAATGCCTAGCATATAGAGTAAGGATAGAATTGTAAAAGCTACAATAAAAAAGGGCTGGTCACATTTAGAACTAAACCAAAACAGATTTCAACTGGTTTCTCAGTCAGAATCTAAAATCCAGGAGATTCTGGAGTACTATAAACAAGGTTCTGAAAGAAAATGGTGTCAACCAAGAATTTCTATACTCAGCATAATTAAGCTTCAGAATTAAAGATGAAATAAAAATATTTCATGAAAAACAGAAACAAAAGAATTCATAACTAGTAAGCCTGAATTATAAGACATATTCAATGAAATTTTCCATAAAGAAGAAATGAAGAGAGAAAATGAAAAGAAACATAGGAATGAAGTCCCTGAAATAAAAGTCAATTAAAGGAAAACAAGTCTGCTTTAAACATTAGAAATAGATCAAATGTTTGGAATTATAAACCATCTCTCAATAACAACATTGAATGTAAATAGTCTAAAATCTTCAATCAAATGACAGATTGGCAGACTAGATTAAAGAACAAGACCCAAAATTGTTGTCTGCAAGAGACTCTCCTCAGAGGCAAATATATCCATATTCATAAGGTAAAAGAATGGGAAAAGATATATCATTTTTTTTTTTACTTTGATTTTTTCTTTTTTTTTTTTAATTTTTTTTATTGGTTGTTCAAAACATTATAAAGCTCTTGACATATCATATTTCATATATTAGATTCCAGTTGGTTATGAACTCCCAATTTTACCCCAAATACAGATTGCAGAATCACATCGGTTACACATCCACATTTTTACATAATGCCCTATTAGTAACTGTTGTATTCTGCTACCTTTCCTATCCTCCACCATCCCCCCTCCCTCCCCTCCCATCTTCTCGCTCTACCCCATCCACTGTAATTCATATCTCTCCTTGTTTATTTTCCCATTCCCCTCAAAACCTCTTATATGTAATTTTGTATAACAATGAGGGTCTCCCTCCATTACCATGCAATTTCCCTTTTCTCTCCCTTTCCATCCCACCTCATGTATCTGTTTAATGTTAATCTTTTCTTCCTGCTCTTCCTCCCTGCTCTGTTCTTAGTTGCTCTCATTATATCAAAGAAGACATTTGGTATTTGTTTTTTAGGGATTGGCTAGCTTCACTAAGCATAATCTGCTCTAGTGCCATCCATTTCCCTGCAAATTCTATGATTTTGTCATTTTTTAGTGCTGCGTAATACTCCATGGTGTATAAATGCCACATTTTTTTTATCCATTCATCTATTGAAGGGCATCTGGGTTGGTTCCACAGTCTAGCAATTGTGAATTGTGCTGCTATGAACATCGATGTAGCAGTATCCCTGTAGTACGCTCTTTTAAGGTCTTCTGGGAAAAGTCCAAGAAGGGCAATAGCTGGGTCAAATGGTGGTTCCATTCCCAGCTTTCCCAGGAGTCTCCATACTGTTTTCCAGATTGGCCGCACCAGTTTGCAGTCCCACCAGCAATGTACAAGAGTACCCTTTTTCCCACATCCTCTCCAGCACTTGTTGTTGTTTGACTTCATAATGGCTGCCAATCTTACTGGAGTGAGATGGTATCTTAGGGTGGTTTTGATTTGCATTTCTCTGACTGCTAGAGATGGTGAGCATTTTTTCATGTACTTGTTGATTGATTGTATGTCCTCCTCTGAGAAGTGTCTGTTCAGGTCTTTGGCCCATTTGTTGATTGGGTTATTTGTTTTCTTATTGTTTAATTTTTTGAGTTCTTTGTATACTCTGGATATTAGGGCTCTATCTGAAGTGTGAGGAGTAAAAATTTGTTCCCATGATGTAGGCTCCCTATTTACCTCTCTTATTGTTTCTCTTGCTGAGAGAAAACTTTTCAGTTTAAGTAAGTCCCATTTGTTGATTTTTGTTATCAACTTTTGTGCTATGGGTGTCCTATTAAGGAATTTGGAGCCCGACCCTACAATATGTAGATCGGAGCCAACTTTTTCTTCTATCAGACGCAGAGTCTTTGATTTGCATGCAATGGAGGGAGGATAGCATCTTCAACAAATGGTGCTGGGAAAACTGGAAATCCATATGCAACAAAATGAAACTGAATCCCCTCCTCTCGCCATGCACAAAAGTTAACTCAAAGTGGATCAAGGAGTTAGATATCAAAAGATATATCATTAAAGTATAACCATGAACAATCAGCCATAACTATTCCAATATCAGATAAAGTGGATGTTAAGACAAAATTAATCAGAAAAGACGAAGAAAGTTACTTCATACTACTAAAGGGAATCATATATCAACAAGATAATGATTGAAAAGATCAATGCCTCAAACAACAGAGCATCTACATACATGAAACAAACCCTTAGCGATATTAAGAATCAAATTGATCACAATACAATGATGACACTGGGTGACTTTAAATTTCCTCTTTCAACACTGGATAGATCAACCAAACATAAGCTAAGTAAAGATTCTAGTTCTGTAGAGAACTAAAAAATACCATTAATACATGAACCTACAAGACATTAACAGAATATTTTAGCCATCAATGACTGAATTCACTTTCCTCACTAGAGCACATGGGAAATTTTCTGAAACAGGCAACCTTTTCAGTCACAAACCAAATCTTTGCAAATACAATAAAAAGAGATAATACTTTGAATTCTACTATAACACAACAGAATGAATTGGAAATCAAAAATAAGGTAAAAAGCAGAAACCACTCTAACACCAGCAGATAAAATAAACCACTTCTGAAGATGAATGGATAGAAGAATAACTCAGGGGAAAAATTAAAAATTTGAGAAGTAAATGAGAAGAGTGATAAAATATATCAAATTCTCTGTGACAGTATGAAGACAGCTGTAAAAGAAATGTTCATAGCATTGAGCTAATACATTAACAGAATAGAAAGGTAACAAATAAATAATCTAAAATTACATCTCAAGCCCCTAGGAAAACAAGAACCAACAAACCAATGCCCCAATCATTAGACGATAGGACATAATTAAAGTGAGAGCAGAAACCAATAAAATTGTGAATTCAAAAATTTTCAAAAGATCAATGAAACAGAGTTGGTTTTGGAAAGGATAAATGTTTAGCCAAACTAACTAAATTAAAAGGGGAAAAAAACAAATAAGATTTGAGATGAAAAAGGAAATATCAACCTATATGCTACTAAATCCATAGAATCATCAGAAAATATTTTGAAAATTTCTACTCCACAATGAACTATAAAATCTTAAAGATATTGACATATAGCTTTTACAATGTTGAGATAATTTTTTTATCTGTAGTTATATGGGACCAACCTAAGGCAACATTATATTAAATGAAGAGAATCTGAAAGCATTTCCTCTATAAACAGGAACAAAGCATGCCCTCTTTCCCCACTCCTATTCAACATAGACCTTGAAATTCAAACCAGAGCAATCAGGCAAGAGAAGGTAATTGAAGACATGCAAATATGAAAGAAGAGCTCAAATTATCTCTGTTTAATGATGTCATAATCCTATATTTAGAAGACCCAAATAACTCTAGCAGAAGACTTCAAGAGCTCATATACGAATTCAGCAAAATAGCAGGATACAAATCAGCATCCATGAATTAACCATATTCCTATAATCCAATGATAAATTGGCTAAAAAAGCAATTAGGAAAACAACCCATTCACAATAGCTTCAAAAATCAATCTGAAAAAAAGTGGCAAAATAACCTCTACAATGAAAACTACAGAACACTAAAGAAAGAAATTGAAGAAGATCTCAGAAAAATGAGAAATTATACCCCATTTGATTCAAAGGTATGATATGTCAAAAAAAAGAAAATGGAAAGACCTTCCATATTCTTGGATAAGCAAAACTAATATTATCAAAATGGCCTTTCTACCAAAACCACTGTTCAGATTCACTGCAATTCTCATCAAAAATTCACTGACACTCTTCAAAGAATTATAAAAGGCAGTTATAAAATTCATTTGGAAAAATAAGAGACCCAGAATAGCCCAAGAAATCCTGAGAGAGAAAAGCAAAGCAGGAGGTATCACAATATTGGACCTTAAATAATACTTCAGAGCTATAGTAACAAAAACAGTATGTTACATGCACCAAAACATCTCACTCACAACCTGCATGGGGAGGGAGTGGGTAACTATGAGAGGTGTGGACCAGCTGGAAATAAAAGCTAGGAAAGTAATATTAAAGAAATAAAAACAAAAGGTAAGAATTATATATATTTTCAAAGTGTGGCTGTGATGCGTGGAACACACCTGATGGGGTCTTACCCTAATAAAGAGAAAAACCTGTGCTTACTTTATGTACAGTGGTAAAGACCAAAGGGCATAGTAATTAATTTCATCAGGAAAAACAGGATAAGTGTGGGGGGAAAACAGGTAGTTTGATACTTAGGTGGTTACGCCCACCTCCTGAGGGCTGTGTTTGATCCTATGCCTGTGAGCTAAGTCAGGGCACCAGCATGATCTGGGCTTCCTCGAACCAAGGAATTTCACCCAGGAGTTCCCAGAAAAGCAGCTTCCCTGCCTTATGCTGGCTCAAACAAACACAAAATTTATCATAATTTATACATGGCTTCCAACAAAAACAGATATGAAGACCAATGGAATAGTAGAGACACAGACAAAGCCACAGAAATACATTTATCCCATACTAGAAAAAGATGTCATAAACATATATTGGAAAAAAGACAATCTCTTCAACAAATGGCACCAAGAAGACTGGAAATCCATAAGGAGTAGAATTAAATTTAGATCCTACTGCTTGCCCTGCACATATCTCAATTCAAAGTGGATCAAAGACCTAGGTGTTAGGTTAGAACCCCTTCACTTGTTGGAAGAAAATGTTGGCCCAACACTCCCAACATATTGGCACAGAAAACCTCTTTCATATTAAAACTCTAGAGCACAATAAATAAACTCAAAATCAATAAGTGGGATGGCATCAGATTTAAAAGTTTCTGAACAGCCAAGAACTAAGAATTTGAAGAGAGAGCCTCAGAAAGGGAGAAAACATTTCTTACCTACTTCTCAGGGCATTAATTTCCAGAAAATACAAATAACCCCCCCAAAACTTAACACCAAATAAACAAATGAACCAATCATTAAATGGACAAAAGAATTAAATAGACACTTCTCAAAAGAAATAATACAAGAAAAAAATGTTCAATATTTGTAGCAATTAGGGAAATGCATATTAAAACTACACGGAGATTTCATCTTATATTCTAGTCAGAAAGGTGATTAACAAGAATAAACATGACAATAAATGTTGGCAATGATATGGGGGAAAAGGTGCGCTCATACATTGTTGGTGGAACTCCAAATTAGTTCAACTGCTCTGGATTATGGAGATTTCTCAAACAAACTAAGAATAGAACCACCATATATCAACTATCTCACTCTTTGTTATATATAAAAAAAATTAAAATCCACATATTACTGTGATGCACAGCAATGTTTATAGCAGTATGATTCACAATAGCCAAGTTATGGAATGAAACTATAAGCCCAGGCTCTTGCCCAGACAGAAACAGGGGAAACCTAAAAGGCAAAATTGCTAATACCTGAAAATCACTAATACCCTTTAACAATTAATGGGTAAAGAAAAAATAGTATATATATAATAGAGTATTTCTCAGTTATAAAGAGATCAACTTTGTGTCATTTGCCAGTAAATGGATGGAGCTGGAGAATATCGTGCTAAGTGAAACAAGCCAACCCCCGCCAAAAGACAAGGGTTGATAATTTTCTCTGACATGTGGAAGCTAATTCAGAATAAAGGATGAGGGGATAAAAATATAGAAAAATTCAGTGGAGTCGACAAAGTGGAATGAAGTAAAGGAAGGGAAAATTAGATAAGGAAAGGCAATGGAATGAATCTGACCAAACATTTTTTATGTACATATATGAATATATATATATATATATATATATATATATATACACACCCACAAGAAATAATGTTAAAAATACTTTAAGTAAATAGACAGATCAGTAGAGTAGAGGAATAGGAACAGAGGAGGGAGTGAGGGGAAGAAAAGGGAAGTACCTGGGAATGAACCAGAACAAATTATATTCTCTGCTTTTATAATTATGTCAAAATGAATCCAGTGTTACATATAACTAAAAATAAAATTTAAAAAAGAATACTTGGATTCTTTTCATTTATGAAATCCAGAAGTATACCTCAAAAAACATGTAACAATATTTCCTGGAGGAAGAGTTGGAGAAGAGCAGCTAAAAGAGGAAGAAGAAGAACAAGAAAAGTCAGTGCAAAGACATCAAACAACCTGTGTCTTGAACAATGGGGGCTGGAGGACTATGGAAAAAGCTGTGTGAGGGGCTCTCTCCACATAGACCTACTCCTTCTTCAGGACTAGACCACAGTTAAGATTGTTCCCCACATATTTCCCTCTTTATACTATGTAACTAGTTACCTTTCTCATCACTACAGAAAGCAGCCAGTTTTGACACCATACACATTAGGAAACTTCTGAGCTCCTCATTCCTGGTTATGACTCTATCAGATTTTACACATTACCTTGGAATCTGCCACTTCCTCCAGATTTAACTCTTTAATGATGTTCTTGATCCTCTCCTTCTTTTCCTGTTTTGTCATAGTTGTTGGAAGCCGAAGAGCTGCTGAGAACCATAAGTTCTCTCTTACCGATAGTGTGTCCATCACAACATCATCCTGAAGGCAAATGTGATTTAATTGAGAAACACTGAGTTTTTCTAAGACCATCACTTCTGTGTATGTAACTTAAAATATGAAAATAATAAAGCCAGGGCTGTGGTTGTGGATCAGTGTAGAGTGCTCGCCTAGCATGTGTGAGACATGGGGTTCGACTCTCAGTACCACATATAAATAAATAAAATAAAGATTCATCAACAACTAAACAAAATAAATGAATAAAATAAACCCAAAGGAAAGTTCTAGTTATTGTAAAGTTTCAACTCTAAGGATTTCAGAAATTCTGTACAGACAGCTTTAGAGCCCAAGGGAAGCTATTTGCATACTCAGGTGGAGCACACATAATTATGATGACTTCTAGATATTTACAAAATGCTTTCTATGAGGAGTTGCTAAAGTCATCCTTTAGGAAAAGAAGAGAGGTGAATGAAGAGCCAAAAAGACAACAGTAGATGGTTTTGGAAATGATATAAAAACTAGAATTGATACCACTGCCTAAAAGTCTATATTCCAGGTTCTTTCTGCCTCTCCTTTTGACTCCTACCTCAGTCTTAAAGGAGATTATGTAAACGTGGTATAAAGAAAGTTGGTACTGAGCATCTTCAATTGGAAGCATGCAAAACTATAAGCCCAGTCTCTTGCACATACAGAAACAGGGGAAACCTAAAAGGCAAAATCACTAATACTTACCTGTACCACATACCCTGTATTATGTGGGAAATTGGAATCCTCAGGTACTTCATGTACCCAAACATCTCCAGATATACCACTTGGATCCTTCCTTGCAGCCAATATATCTAACAACCTATAAAAGGACACACATGTTCAGAGATTTTTCCTTCCTACAAAGGCCACATCTCTCACCTACTCAGAATCCAGATTCTGTTCAAGTTAAAAATTGAACTAGTCAAAAAATTCTATGGTTTAACATATGTGTGTGTTTGTGTATGTGCATGCACACATAGAAATTCTTAGCATCCTTTTCTTCATGTGCTATAAGACATTCCAAAATCATTAAAGCAAAATATTATTGGCTTATCCAGGATAGACTCCCAGTGACCCTCACCTTGATGGTCCCAACCCAGGCAACAGTCTCCTTTATCTCTGATGCATGATCTCCCTGAGAACTTCAGCTTCTTCTGTTCACTTTTAACATTATTCCCTTATCTTCTTTCCACATTAGTTCATAATATGATGGACTGCTATATTGTGATCACTTCATCATGCCATGTTGTTAAAGCTGAATTTAATAAGACTTCCTGGTCCTTGGATTAAAACCATATGCTAGTCTAAATTGATTTTATCCATAGTACTTAGCATCAGACAGGAAATGCACAACAAATTCACGTGATTTTTTTTGTGGGGTGGGGGCCGGGTACCAGGGATTGAATTCAGTAGTACTTGACCACTGGGTCACATTTGCAGTCATCTCTTGTATTTAATTTAGAGACAGCAACTCACTGAGTTGGTTAGTACCTCGCTTTTGCTGAGGATGGTTTGAACACATGATCCTCCTGCCTCATCCTTCCAAGCTGCTGGGATTACAGGAGTGCACCACCATGCACAACCAACGCATGTGATTTTTAAAAAGCATACTAAAATGCAGCCAAAAAGGCTTACTTACACCTTCTTTTGTACTCACAAAGTATTGCCTGAAACTGAGGGTCCCACGATGGCATTAAGGCCAGGGTTCATGATCCCACTGTAAACACAAAAATATACTGATTTAGTATTTTACTTTATAAAGAGTTCCATAGGTTTAGGGTCTTCACTGAATGCATTTAGGAAAGGTTGATGAAATTGCAGATAGATAACAAGCACCAAATATTAATGTAAAATATCATTGATTAATAGAAGTCTAGTCAGGACCTATAAAAAATGTCTGAGATCCCTCAAATATCTTGAAACCCCTAATCTCTTTGGGGGAAATGACATATTTCATGTTCAGACCACAAAATAAGTAGCAATTTTTTAATGAATGATCTGCATTACTCTTACTCCTTTTAACACAGTTTCTAAATCATGTTTAATGATCAGCCTCTTCAAATCCCCTCACCTGCTTCCCAGTCAAGTTAGACACCATTAATGAACACTGATTTGGAGATTGATCAGCAGTAGTGTTCTCACTTTTAAAATCTAGTCATAACAAAAATTAATATATCTTCAGTAGAAATCAAAGAGTGGAGCAAAGTACTCCAGACTATAAAAAAAATTGCGTGTTCTTCACATTCAAGAAAAATATCTTACCAATTAAAATAAACAGGGTAGATGATTCACTGCTTTGTTGAGTATCTGATTAATTGACTGGAAAATGTTCTGTGTGTATTGGGTGACATCCCTGTAGTATGGACATCCTTGTGAGATGCACAGTCAAAAAATGGATATAAGTATGCTTCAATCAAATTAAGTGTATTCCTGAGGGTAGTAAACAATCAGAGTAGAAGAAGGTGATTATGGCAGTGTTGACTGTGCTAAGACCCAGGAAGTCAATTTTAGGCTGATTATTATCCTAAATATAAGAGGTGAATCTACTAAGAAGAATTAAGTGGAGGAAGAGAACTAAGGGCAGGGCTACTTCAGGAGCACAGGAGTGCACACAGCAATCTGGCTTCAGGCATTCAGAACTCTGGTGTGTATGCCAGTCCCTCTTTTGACTTGCTAGGCACATCAAGATGTGTTCTACAGTGGAATCAGTATCTATTCCAAGCACAGGATCAAAGCCAACAGCTATGTGCCCTCACATACTGATACCCAGGGAGGTTGATCCTATGATTGCATAGGTGTCATGAAACATGAAAGTCCCAGTGCAACTGACCCCACAGAACTCACATCTAGAATGATCTCATCTTTCTTGGCCTGTAGCACCTGATCTTTAACAAATGAAACCAGCGCTGCCAGAGGCTGAGGTGATATGTACCATTCACTTTGTTTATTAACTGTGGAAACTCTGAATCACTGGACTATTGAGATTGTGGTAAACTGGGATTCAGAAAATTCTTAATTCATTTGCTATCCTTCCTCCCCCAGTGTAAAGACAAACAAATGACTGGGTATGTCTGGGGGTGTAGGTCAGTGCAAGTGGGAGTAGTTAGCATGCATGAAGTCTTGGGTTCAATCATTAGCAATAACCCAAATTCACAATGCTTGGGCAAACTCTCAAAGTGCATTTGTCTACAGTTCTTAATGCATCTCTCTTATTAATATCTACCTAGAAACTGCTTCAGAAATGATCAGGAAAAGCCTTTTTATTTCCTAAGTTTTCATTGCCTAGAAAATTTCCCATGTTTTTAAGATATGTAGTCAAAAAAAAGAGCAAGCCATCCTGAACGATTCAACCAGAAAAACAAATGTGAATATAGTAAGGCAAAGCATTTCAAAAGTCCCTTTGTTTGTCTTTCTTTGACAGTAAATCCCAGTGTTACAGAAAACATCAGAAGCATAGAAACCCAAATGCCACAGTTACTATGTAGGGCACTGACTAGTTCCACATCCATTCAGGCAACACAATTATGTCATGTCTACTATGTTTGTACAAGATACTATTTTAGGACATGGGATAGAGCTGAGAACAAATCCAGTAGATAAACAAATGGAAAAACAAAGTCCCAGCCCCCTGGAGTTCACACTCTAGTCAAGGGAATGAGCACCTACAGGTGGTCAATTATTTTCTATTTCCTAAACACCGTGAGTAGACAGAACTATGCTAATTTGTTTCAATAGAGTCTGGAGCTACACTCATGTCAAAAATTCAGTTATGTCCTTCACCTTTCCTGTTCTCCCCATCTTCACCTCCACGTTTCTCTCAGCCCTCACAAGCCATTCCCCTCTTATTTTCTGCTTTACAGCATATGCCTCTCTCCTAAAACTGTAAAACCTTGCCAAGAAGATTGTGTCTTTGTAACCACTTCTCCCTCCTGCCCTTCTGCTGCACCCTGCACTACTATTAATTCAAGTTTCCATACTGTGTGGTGAGGGTATGGATAAAAGACAAACAGACACACAAATAGAGAAAAAACTGGGGCCTGGTAAATCACTGTACATTGATAGATAAATAGTGACCATGAGCAGGCTCAGCAAATTCATTATATAGGTTTAAACAGCAAAAAGAACAATTGTGAAAAAGTTTCTTCAAGAAAAGCAAAACTGAAATTTTGAATATAAACAGCCCAATTAGAACTATCAGCTTACACCCTTAATTCTCTTCCCCCAGGCAGCTGGTATTTGAACCTAGGTCAGGAACTGATAAATCCATTGCTAGTATGGAATTTCCCTTTGAACAGGTTATCACTAAAGAAGCTCTGTAGTCTCAAATTGGCACCTTAGGCCCCTAGAGTTTCCAGGAGGGGCATCGTCTCTGAATCCGCACAATTCAAAGATCATAATTCATTTACCGCTCTTGACACCTTTCCCCGTTAGACATGGCACACTGAATCCCAAATACTGACTGTACAACATGAAAAGACCCGAAGGATTCCTGTTGGATCTACTACACATTATGAGATAATGGTACACCCTTTGGTCTTGTTTTGTTTATAGTCAAAGGAGTTAAATGCCATTCTTGGGACATGGTCAACCCCTCTCTCTCTCTCTCTGTCTCTGTCTCTCTCTCTCTCTCTCTCTCTCTGTCTCTCTCTCTCTCTCTCTCCACACACACACACACACACACACACACACACGCAAAGAGTTTTCACTTTCTGTATCTCCATGTGCCCTCCAATGGAGGATGAGGAGGTTCTGTATTGTCTTTGAATACTTCAATCAATCACAGCAAAAAAAAAAAAATGCAGGGAAACTGCTATAGTTTTATAATTCTTCCATCAGACTAAAAGGTTTCTATGAATAGAGGGCATTTCTGTAACTAGCATCTTCAACAACACCAGACACCTACTATTATCCCTATTTGGTTGAATAAGAGAATATCCACCTTAGTTTATTGAGTACATAATTAACTAGCTGGAAGGGATAAGTGAGGTAAATGAACACTCACACAGTGTGTCCTTTATAGTTGTTTAACTTGCACATATTCAAAGCAAGGTACCTTCTACCTCATTCATCAAAAAATTGTAGGGAAAATTATTTCATAATTACTGTGTTTCACAAAATGCTTGTCAGCTTTTCAGTAATCAATCTATCTAGTCATATAGCAAAAGATCAAAGCCTTACATCCACTATTCCTCTCCTTATTCTAGTCAGGATTACTTAACCAACACAAGAGAAAGACAAAAAGTAGGCAAGAGAGCAGGTATTCCTGCATGGAAAGAGTTCCAGTGCTGCACAGCAGCCCTTGCCTCAGCCCAGTCAGCCCTTAAAATCTTGCTATTTCTTTACCTCCAATGACTCAAAAATTTCTATGCTATTTTGTCAATTCTTTGATTTCTAAAGGGAGTTGGCTGGCATTAACTGAAAAGTGTAAAATCATATAAAAATATCAAGAAAATAGAACAAACATCAACTTACATATAGATCTGCAGCCACACTGAGTCAAAAAATTATTTTATAGCCACTCTTCAGCCTTGAAAAGCCAGTTGAAGGTGCTTACTTTGACTAGGGATGATTATTTCCCTTATTACAGAAACAGAATTCATAGGCAATGGTATCTGAGCAAATCCAAATTACATCACGACTCCATAGAAGGGAAGCAGAGGCTCACAAATATCAGAAAAATGCTGACACTCCTAAGGCCAGCATCTGTGAACTCATAGAGGTACCTCATAGTAATAGGTTCTATAATAACACTCATCTCCTTTCCACTCTAGATCTCACTTCAACACTACACATTGAATTCTGATTATTTTTCTGGATAAAAAGAATAAAAATAAAATTACAATTATTAGGTACTCTATAAAACTACATAACATCAGTGAGCTTGTAGGGATCTTAGGTTGTAGGGATGAGACTGTATATGTTCCATCTGTCTTCATTATAGTAATAAGTAAATTGTTCTAGAATGTGAAAAATCATAGACCATTCATTTAAAACAGGTCTATTTAAAAAGAAAACTACTTTCACAATATGCTCTCATTTCAACCTCCTTGTTGTAGACTATAAAGGACATAAAGTGCACAAGTACCTAAAACCAATCTGTTTCAGAAAGCTCATTTGAGTAGTGAAACAGAAACACATTCTGTTTCACTGTTTGGAAAGATTAGAGTTACATTATGTACCCACAATCAAAAAACAATAAACTATCCTGGTGTGATGGCACAAGCTTGTAATCCCATCAGCTCAGGAAGATGAGGAACAAGGATCCTAAGTTCTAGATTAGACTCACCAAATTAGCAAGGCCCTAACAACACAAGGAGATCCTATCTTAAATAATATGTGAAAAAGAGCTGGTCTGGACATGTGGCTCCGTGGGTAAGTGCCATGGGTTCAATTCCCAGTACAAAAAAAAAAAAAGCAATAAATTATACCACAAGGCCTATTTCAACCAAAACATGTGGTTGACACATGAAAAACTAAATGGCACATTAATTTGTCAGTTTCTCAAAGATTGATACACATGGTACAATCACTTTTACAAATGGATTGTTAGTTCAGTTCCTTTCAAAGTTAAACATACACTTAAGAGATCATCTCACTCCTACTTTAGACAAAAGAAATGAAAGCATTTGTTAATATGGCTAAAGATGTGAACACAAATATTCATAGAGTTTATTGCTAATACAGAAAACCTGGAAGTTCACTGTAGGTCAATAAAGT